TTATTTAATTTCAATTTTAAATCTATGTTAATTTGTAATATTCTATTAATGTAAAATTTTATTCAAAGCACTGGTTCTTGCTTATGCATTTGCTTGATTATAGGTCGTCAGGCCTACTGCATTCTTTTAATATTAAAATACCATCTCTCTTGATCTGGAACATAATCGATAGTTTCTTTATGTAAAAAGTTGCTTAACAGACCTAGTCGATAGGTACTTAACAGAAGACAGACGAAAACAATCGATATGCATAGCTCAAAAGCTTAATATTTGTGGTTTATATTCGTATTGAATCTCTTTATTTGTTTTACTTTATTTATCTTATGAATACTGAACAGCTGCATTCCAGCTGTATATTCTCGATGTGAACTGCTGCAGCTGTAAATTGTTGACATATTGAGAACTACTCCATTGCAATGGTTCGCTTTATGCTATTTTGTAGGGGTTATTATTATGGCTTTCAGCAGGCGCTTTTGCGGATCACTTTTCCCATGCAATTTAAATTATTAACAGATGTGCGCACAATTCAATACAAAAGTTTGAAGCGCTCTGGCCAGAGTTCCGCCCCATTGGCAATCCACTTGGCCATAATTCATGAGCCGCAGCTGAGAGTTCCTTAACCCTCTGGCTGCCCTCTGGAGCACCGTTGTACGGTTAAATGCGAGAAACCACTTACAGCTGCAATTGGTAGCCAACGAAGGGCTGGCTGGCTGGGTAAATGCTCGCTGACCAATATGCAGGCGAACAGAAATGTGAAAAGAACAAAATAAAACAATAAATTTGTGGCTCGAGCAGGGCGCGGCTGGGCAGAGCTTTGAAAAATGCGCTGAAAACATTAACGAAATTGAATACTTGCCAGAAAATGTTTAATAAACATATTCGCAGTGGCAACACTTGCTGGATGCCGCCAGCCAGACAAATGCTCATCCAATTTCAAGGACCTGCAGTGCAAGGGATGTGGGCCATTTTCGGCAGCAATCCCAATGCGCTTTCATAAAAGTTTGAGTGCAGCTCGTTATGCCAAATAAATGAAGTTTGTCTGCTGCTGCTGCTCCTGCTGCTCCTGCTGCTCCTGCTGCTCTTGCTGCTCCTGCTGCCGCTGCTTTTCGTATAAATTTTGTAATATTAGAACAATTTTTTGGTACTCGTGCGCTCCGTGCACTTTGTGCACTTGGCTAATTTGGGGAATGTAGCAAAGTTTGCAGCTGGACAAGCCGGTGCTATTCTGGCCAGGCAGTTTCAAAATGTTTAGCTCAGCCACGCCCCCTTAAATGGCAAATCCTTTAATGCCCGGTCCAGAGTAGCATGTCGAGGCAACGCAGGAACCAATTGGGTTATTCCGGCCAAAAGTGTTTGTTTACCCTCATAAATTATGAATCTGCACAACAAGGATGGCAACCCACATGTTCTGGGCCACGCACATGGGCACATGTCGGTTGACCTCTGTCGCTGCTGACGATACTTTAGCTGTTGCCGTTGCTGTTGCTGTTGCTGTTGCTGTCGCCAGCCTGTGCCCGAAGTGTTGCCCTGGAAACACCTAGCTCCGGCTACAACATGCTGAAAAACGAACTGAGCCCAGCCCAGCCCAACCCAACCGAACCGAACCGTAGCATGCCGGAATGCCAGCGGGAAGCCGTGAGCGGAGCGGAGCTCCTGCTACATCCTGTCTGCATCCGAGTATCAAATACTTAGCTTTATGACGCACTGTGGTTAGCAGCGAGGACATCTCACATCTTCTCTACACTATGTACTTTTGTTTCAGTGTATTTTAAATTTAAAAAAAAATTTATTCATTTCTTTAGAGGCCAAAAATCATAGGAATATATAGTTTTTCTAT